ACAGATCAAGTGTAGCTGTATGGAGAAGGGTTTGGGAGTGCTGCTGGGAGGGGCTGGACATGTCCTGTGTCCTGGGCTGACCCCACAGCGTGGGCAGCAGCAAATGGGGGATTCTGCCCCTCTGCCCCTCAGGTGAGATCCCACCTGCAGAGCTGCCCCCAGCCCTGAGGTGCAACTCCAGAAGGACTTGGAGCTGCTGGAGCGAGTCCAGAGAAGGCACCAGGATGACTGGAGGGATGAAGCAGCCCTGCTGGGAGGAATGGGTGAGGGAACTGGGATTGTTCAGCCTGGAGAAGAGAAGCTTTAGGGTGACCTCACTGCAGCCCTGCAGTACCTAAAGGAGCTGATAAGAAACACAGAGAGAAGCATTTTACAAGGGCCTGGAGTGCCAGGACAAGAGGGAATGGCTTCACACCAACAGAGCGTGGATTATATTGGATATTAGGAAGAAATTCTTCCCTGTGAGGGTCGTGAGGTCCTGGCACTGGTTGCTCAGAGAAGCTGCCCCATCCCTGGAAGTGTCCAAGGCCAGGTTGGAGCAACCTTCTCATGGAAAGTGTCCACGGCAGGGGGGTGGGACAAGATGAGCTCTGAGGTCCCCTCCAACCCAAACCAGTCCATGAGTCTAAGAAACATCTTCTCATCAGTTCATGGAAGTTTCAGCAGAATTCCCCAAGTCTCTCCTGCCTTTGAAATACACGTTCAGCAGAGACTACTGAGGTGCCCTCCCAAACAAGCACCACAACTGAATGCCAGAGTTGTGAAATAATTACTGCTCTGTGAATTTGAGCGGCCACTTGCAGCTCTGCAGCTTTATAAACAGGAAGTGTGAAGCTCTGCATTCATACCTGCTTTCATCATATGACAGAGCCCTGAAGCCATCAAATACTGGCTGACATAACAAGCCTCACTGTAGAATCTAGACTGTCTCCACAGTGGATTCTATTCATTCTGATAGCTAAAAAAAAAAGGCTGAGAGACTTCTAGGCATTTTCACCACATGACTCTGAAACTCAAGGCTCAGAAAAGCACAGGTTTATACCCTTAGAAAATAACATATCCTGAAGAACCTTCACCTCCCTATCATGGTCAAGCTCTGGTTTTCAGCTGTGAGAGAAAATAAAGCAGAACAATCCCCTTCGTGGAATACAGAAAGAATAAGCCACTAAAATGGCTCCCTGATCATTTTTCCTAAAAAGATGTTTGGGTTTTAAAAAGTTAATTTCATAATCTGGAATAATAAAAAGCAGTTTTCCATGGGCCCAAGGGCTGAGTCCATGGATTTGTCACCAAGCTGAGATCGACAGCCTCAACTAGATGATTATATATTTGCACAAGTTTTCCATCATCCTTTTGTCAGATTTATGACATCTGTACGCTTGAGGATGTTAATGATCAGACACTACATATATTTGCCTTGATTTAAATAAAACAAATGTAGCTATTTTTCAAATTCAATCAAGACACAAAAGGTCATTAGCAAGATTTATCCTCTGCCCATCACACAACATTAGTCATTACTGGCACACACTCACCAACCTCCTTGTGGGTTAGAGCGGGTTTTTGTTACTTTGATGGGCTTGGTGTTCTCCAGTTGGTACCATCTCAGGGACACACAACCAGGGAAGAAAACTGCCTTTAAAAACCATTCCATGACCTCTCCAGAGGCAAAACCTGTGGAATTCATACAACGGCAAGTTTTGCCTTGCTGTTAGCTGGCATTTTAACTGCATGTACATTTTCCCAACAGCAGCACTATTTCTTGCTTTTGCTTTCATTTTGCTCTTTTTCCCAGAGATCACTGAGCACAGGACCAAACACAATTAAATGGATTTATCAGCAGTCACTCATTTCTCCAAATTCTACGCTCACTGACCATGCTGTTGTGGCTGCTCCCCTTCTTCTACCCTGCACTCATGAAACAAAAATTTTACCTTCCTTTGAGCAGAAGGAAAACTGCCTTCCTCTCTGGCCCAAATTTGACAGATCAATGACTATTCACCAGCATTTATTTTAAGTGGTTCCCTGAGTCAATATTTAGCATAGATAATTCAGGTGGAAATGACCTGAATTACACCTGCTCTAAGTAGCATCCACAGAAACTTTGACTACAGATTCTACAATTTCATAATTCACAAGTATCTACATAAATTTATGCTCAGTCTATGTTTATCCTCTCAAAGTTACTGAAGCAGAACACATTAACAGCCACTGGAAAATACAGTCCATAGGGATCTGAAATAAACCGGCCACCAATATCACACAGGAATCTCTTTCCAAGAATTCTTATTAAAATATTTCACAAACAACACAGGACAGTGCAGGAGCTGCTGTGCTGGAGCTAATACAATAGTGATAAAAAGTTCTTCTTATAAAGTTTTACAGGCCCAAAGACAGCTCTTTGAGGAATTGGGTGTCAAGACTGGAAGCAGGAGATAAGGCAGGCTTTAGAGCACCATCTTCTTGGCAAGGCCAGAGCACCCAGGCAGCCTGATGGACACAGTGGTAGGAGAGGAGTGGGAAATCAGAGACAAACACTGGAAAATCCACCAAAACAGGACACTGGCTGACTTGCAGCACTGCTCTAGGAAGAAAATTGCTGCTGGAGTTTAGGCCTAAGAAAAAAGCAACGAGCTCAAGAGCCACAGTACCAGTTCATGCCACCACAAATTTAGTTTGATAAAATAACTGACAATTTTATGCTCAGTTTGGAACAAAGCACTTCTGACTTCACCTCTAATGACCTGCCCAAGGATTTCATCTCCTCACAAAGAATCCATCCTCGGAAGGAGGTCTGTGGGGTCAGGAATAGCTCTCCTCACTTCTCATACCTTTTCCAAAGCAATAGTACTTTGTGCCTCTGGCTACTATAAATAAGATGACCACAATTGGCGAAATTCATAAAAAGAGATGTCCAAAATAGCATCCCTTGCTTTCCACAGTCAGGCTGCAGAGGCAGACCCAGATCTCAGGGAGGCTGATGAGACTCCTGTGACCTGCACTGGTGGACACAGGACAACTTCACCCATCCACACGGCCACGTCACCACAGCAGTGTCAGCTGCCTGTGCCAAGGAAAAGGGGGAAAATAAAACAGCAGGACTGTCTCCTGTTCAAGGGTGGAAAAGGCCATCAGCACCAGCCAGCAGTGGCACTTTCATCTCCTTGAACAGAAGTTACATTTTAGCTACAGTTATTTATATTGTGAGCCTTTAACCACAACCCCCCTCACCTCCACAACCTTTGGCTACTACCAAAATGGAATTGCAATAAACGAATTTGCTTAAAAGTCAGCCCTATTTTCTGAAGATGACAGAAGCAGCATTTTTCTGAGCAACTGAAATTCAAATTGGTGACTCAAAAATACGATCACAGCATTCTGAATGATTACCACAAGTACAGGTAACCACTACTGATTACTCATGAAGAATTCCCAGTTGAAAAATTTGTACAAATAGCACCTAATACAAAACTTTCTTGGCATTTAACAACCAGGAAGCAACGTTAGAGAAGGCTGATATAATTGGAGATTAATATATTTGGCTTTCTTTTCTTAATGTTTAAGTTTATCCATTATCTCTGTTTGCATCCACAGAAACACCACAAGTACCAACAAGGTTCTGTGGAAGTAAGAATGGTCTAAAAAATAATGTTTTGATAACTGGACTGTTTTATACATACAGTGATTCACTGGTTAAGTAAACAACATAGTTATTTAGCAAAACACCAATTTATAACAGAGTGCCTAAAACAACCTTTCTCGTCTCCTACAGAAAAACAGTATTGAAGGTCTCATATAGAGAAGAAAAACATCCAAAAAAAATAACAAAGGCAAGTATTGTATTCACTGCACAGAAATAATTTCTTATTAAGAAGAAATCAATCTTATTAATTATGAAGCACCCAAATCAACTTCCTTGATTTTGAAGCAGTGTGAGAGTTTAACTTTAAAATTCACAACACTTCTTTTTTCTTCTTTAGGAACTTTGGAATATACATCGTGACCAAATGACTGTATTTTCCACCAAACAGCTTATTTCAAACACTTCATGATATATTTAACTTCACACCTCTACCAAGCTGCATTTATAACTCCAGCTCTTCTAAAAATACGTGCACCAAAGCTTTCAAAGACTTCCTATACTTTCACTAGTAGGGAAAATTCTTCAGGGCTGTTATGTTTAAAATCTGCAACGCAAGTGCAAGTGACTTTGAATCATACGTTTGTTTCTCCTGCTTGACACTACGTTGCTCCATTTCCTATCTGACATGGCATCCCTCAGAGGCTCCAGCAGAAAAAAAAAATTAGAAAATATTTAACAAAAACCCCATTTCACGTCAACTTGTTTCTTTTTCAGTTAACACCCAGTGGTTCCTCCCAGTTCTCCCTTATCACTCCTGACATGCCTCTCACATGCAAGCAGGAATAAAAAGGGCAGCTATAGATTGGCTTGAGCTTATGAATTTTATCAGGGCTTTAAATATCAAACAGGTGAGCTGCTTTACCTGCACTGCATCACGTGAACGCACAATAGGGCAACAATTACAAACACCTGTCCTCCCTGCAAACCATTTACTGCTGAAAATTCCTGTCCCTCTTTGTCCTTGGACTTGGCTATCAGTTCCAGAGCCAGGGAGCTTCCAGGGTGTAGCTTACTGTCGCCTTGGAGCCCTGCAGCTGCAAGCGTTCACCATTCAGCTTGTTTATGTTTTCCCTTCGCTAGTTCCTCTTTAAATCCTCCGGGAGGACCCTAAACCGGGCTAACATCAACCGAGCGACATCAACCCCGAGGCACGCACGCCACATCCATCTTTCCATGCGGAGCTGCAGATGCGTGATCCCCAAGCACGGGGAAGTAAACACGAGGAGCGGGAGGGCCGGCAGAGCCGGGAGCTGGGTGACAGCCCTGTCACAGCGGGATGGCAGCGCTTCCCGATTTATCCGGGCTGCCCGCGCACAGCCGGCCAGCCACAGGCGAAGGCCGGGCCGAGGGNGTCCCCTCAGGGGTGGCTGAGGGGGAACCGCAGCGTTCGGGGCTCTGCAGCGCTGCGGCCGCGCCGGTGCCTCCACGGCTCCGGGCTCGCTCCTCGGCCGCAGAGGAAGGAGCTGTGACGAGGAAGGACCTGGCTCTGCCCCGGCACGGGCTCTTCGGAAGGTGTCGCTTGCGAAAGCTGTCAGCGCTTCCCGTAGCGTGCACCGGGGAGAGAAGAAGGACTACGGTGCGATGGGGCCTCCGGCGGAACAGCCCCAGGCTTCTGTGGGAGGGTGAGAGTCACAGCACCCTCAAAGCGCACAGGCAACAGCCTCAATCCTCACAGGGGATCAGCCCTCAGCCCCCTCAAACCTCATAGGGGTCATCTCCTCAATGCCCTCAAACCGCACAGGGAACAGCCCCTCAGCCCCCCAAAACCTCGCAGGGAATCAGCTCTCAGCCCCCTCAAACCTCGCAGGGGATCATTCCTTCAATCCCCTTAAACCACACAGAAAATAAGCTCCTCAACCCCCAAAAAACTCACAGGGGATCAGCCTGTCAAACCTTACACGGTCAAACCCCCTCAAACCTCTCAGGGGGAGCAGCCCCTCAGCTCTCTCAAACCTCTCAGGGCACGGGGGTTTTCTTCAAAAAGTCCTCTAAGTCGTAGGGCTGCAGGCATGGGGTGTCAGTAGGAGGTTCCTGTTCCATTAAAATGTCTTTTCACTGTCTGAAACAGAAACACGGGCTGAATTGTAAAAAGATCAAAACCACCCCTGCCCTTTGCTGTTCTCCAGCATGTTTGCTTTTAGTATTCAGCCCAGGACTGACACAGAATGGGAGGATTTCCCAAATGGCTTTGTTACAACATTAAGCCTGGTAACCTACCCTGGGTCACTCCCGAGCAGAAAATAAGGAGTTTGAAAGAAAACACTGATTTCTAAGGGCAGCTTGTTCCAAGGATTGTTCCTGCACTGAAACAAAGCCTGTAAAAACACCAGTTGCGAGTCATTCCCTAAGTTACTGTTTCCGCACGGAATGATCTTGCCACATCGGAGCTGCAGAAAGGTCAAGCCGGAGTTGCTTTCTCGCTGATGTAAGTTCATGCGTAGGTATTTTTATAGCAAACATTCCAAACAAATTTCATATCTGATATGCAAAGCCAGGAATGCTGCTTACAGAGACACGGGCTCCAAGGCCAAATTTCTCCTCGTGTAACCCAAGTGCAAACACACTAGAAATGAAATAAGCTCCATAAAGCCTCCTTGTATCTTTTCTGAATTGTTTTTTCTATCTTAGATTTGTGGCATATAAAAAACCCATATCATTTTCAAGCATAAAATCTGCCACAAAGAGACCTTTTACCTCTCTGGAATATAGGCTATGAGGACTTAAGTGATTTTTAAAAATATAAATTAAATTGGTGGAAATATACTTCACCCATCAGCCGCTGGTTATGTATTTATCATTTAAAGAGTAAAGGTAAATGTAAAGGTAGCAGAGGAATAAGAGGATATAATCTCCCTTGATGTATATATCCTCTTACTCCTACCCTAGCTTTACATCTCTTCTCAACATAGTTCCTCACCAAGCAGCTTTCAGTTTAGATAGAAAATAAACTCTTTAAAACATTTGAGAATGAATTCAACAATATGGCAATGTGTCAATCAAAAGCTTAAGCTGGCAATACCAGAAACAGCTGGAGAAATCTGTTTTATCCTGTGATCAAGTGAAATATTCCTTGGCATTCCTAGAGCCATGCTCTGTTTGTGATGGACTCCTTTCTTAAAGTATTAACTCTCAGCTGAGGAGATGGGGTTTAATTCCTGACTTCTCTGTCGTGTTCCTGTGTGACCTTACGTCCAGTAATAATATTTTAATGTTTTGGTTTCTCCTCTGTATTACAAAGATAATGAGAGTCCCATTTTGCCTGGAATGAGCAGCACTGGGACGCAGCCAGCCCCAGACTGGCAGAGCAGTTAGAGAAAGCAATTAAAGCAGGAAGCAGCTTCAGTGATGGGGTAAGGCAGCTCCACACCAATTCCTGCTGGTTTGCAGGCCAATTTCTCCAGGACTATTTATCCTCAGGCTCTTACTAGAGAGCAACAGCCAATTCCTGAGTACCAAAGCTCACCAGAGTCCTGACACGACACTGCCAGGCCTGTTTTGTCTACACCAAGCAGTGAGGGACCCTGCCAGGACACTCTGACCTGATGCCTCTGCAGCCACCACAAAAATTACTACATAAATTTGCAAAGTTATTTCATTTTTATCTGAGATGTTATGACAGAACCTCTACATGTAATTCACACAAACCCCGCTCTCAGGCAATAGAGAATATCAGGCAGTATAGGGGGTTTAATAACAACTAAATCATGAAAAAAATGAATGACTGAAATTATAATTACAAATCAGATCCTACCACCAGCTTATAGTTATAGTCACAAACAGCTGACTGGGTATTTGGTGCAAATGAGGAAGCAGACCCCTCTAGTCAGGAGTTCCTTCCACTGTGGGAAGGAAAAGGGATTGGTGTGATGGTTCATAATGATGGCTAACATTTCCTATTAACCCAAAAACACATACCTCTTTCCAAGGAAAACGTATGATACTTAAAAAAAACTCAGCTGAAGTGGCATGCCTCATGTCCCAGATGTACAGACGGTGTCCAAGAACCAGCAGAATTTTGTTTGAAAAGCACTTCAAAATCATTTACTGGATCCATTGTACACACCGTGGCCTGCACCAAATTTAATCACAAAGATACTCTGGATTGGAAAGTCAGGCTGGAGGCTCCCGATGGCAGAGTCTTTGTTCAGATTAAATTAAGCATGTTCTCAAAGGCACTGAAGCAGGAACCCAGAGATAAGGCTGTGTGTGCTAACTCTGGATTAGATCTGGCAGTAAGTTTTTACTGAAGCCTTATTGGGGAGCACAAGATTATAGATGTTGCTGCTATTTAAATGCTATGTCAAAGGTAAATCAAATTAAGATACAGCGAATTTAGACTTGCATTAAATGAATTGAGCTCCTCTCCTGTCACAGAGAAGTGCTACGTATGCAAATCGAACTGGGCACGTGTCCTTTGGATTGCTGGGATTTATTTAATTATTCGCTAATCAAAAACTAATTCACAAGCACTTAGCAAATATCTTTAAGTGTCTCTGCATCACTGTCAAGGATCTGAGGCAAAGCAGGTATTTACTGCTGCACAGGAGCTGCGGGAGCCTGGCAGCACAGCAGCTCTCGGGCTCTGCAAGGGCTGCTGCAGTCCAAGGCTACAGGAACAGGGGAAAATCCACACCCTCTGCTCCAGCTCAGCCTTCAGCAGGTATCTGCAAGGAGAAGGGGTTTGGAGCTGCAGTGGAAAGGCCTGAACTCAAAAGGGATGAGCCAAACATCAGAGGAGCTGCTGCAGCAATTCAAAATCCCTTCTGAGAAGAGCACTGTAAGGCCTTAGGATTTCCTGATTCACCTTCACTAAAACAGAAGCCAAAAATGCAACTTTGTTGTTGGCCTCTAAATCTGTGTCCCTTTCTGCAATACATGTCTCCCCACCCTGGATACTGTCAATTCTTTAAGGACTGTTCCTGGCACTGGACAAACACAGGACAACTTTTACCCCTTCCTGCTTCAGACAGACCTGACAGGAGTGTGACAGAGCACATCCCAAATATTTGAGAAGAGTAGAAAGCAGGAGAGAGATCCAGATGCAGTAAGAGGATTCAATCAGGTCTGCAGTGGTCAGAAATAAATGGTTTCATATCTAATTACAGTGAACTGGTGAATGAGAAAAATACCCCAAATCGTTATCTGCCAGTCTGATTCTGATATTATCAGAGAGTAAGAAGAAGTACAAAAGGCTTCCTCAAAGAACAACAGAACAATATACAAACTGAAACTTCTATCACATCCCACATTTTCTAGAAAATAAGTGGCTTAGAGTGGTAGCAGAGGGTGACAGATTTATATGAACTCTGGGGGAAAGAAAAGGAGCAGATTTTTACCAGGTCCCTCCTATTCTTGTCATGTAAGCTGTACTCCCACTCTATTGCCAGCATGAACTTGGTAGTGGAATACTGCTAGGGAGAATGAAATATTTCATTTTTTTTAAAAAAATGAGAAATTTAAATCATCCCCCTTGTTGAAGGGACATGTTAATGAAGGCAGGGCTCACCAGGGCTGCAGTGTGGTGTGGCCAGGGGACTCTCAGAGTGAGATGATCGGGATTTTTTTCCTCATTTCCAGTTTGAGGGCACTTCTCTTTTCACACCTGCCCTTCCCGGCACTCTCTTGACTTTTTTGAGCAGCTGCCCCTGCCCCAACAGCCAGGCCCGTGCCCTGGCATCATACCCTGCTGCTTCCCGGCAACAGCGGACACCTCATCCCCTCCTTTTTCCTGGTGAGTTCCAAGCGGGGCGGGGACACGGGAGAGAACAGCGCGTCCCTCTGTCCCAGAGGGCTGAGCTCTGGTGACAGTACAGCGTGGGGGTGACAGCCACTGCTGCGCAGGCATGAGTGACAGCCCTACTCTGCACACCCACACGTGCCAAACGACAGACCTGTACATCAGGTTGTGGCAGATACGAGAACGGGGTTTGGACAGCACTGCCCAGGCTATAAAAAAGGCAGCGAGGGAAGTGGGAGCATCCCTCAGACCTCATTTGAGCTGTGGGCTACCTCTGTTTAATTCTGCCAGCCCATTATAAGAGAATTAATGAATGTTTCTGCTGAGCCACTTACCCCTGGATGTTTGTGTTCAGGGAGCCCGTGACAGGTTTAAAGCTGCTCAGAAGTGCTGCTCACATTACTGCTCAATCCATAATTTCAGCTCCTGGTATTAATAGTGGGATCTGCACAACCCAGAAAAGTGAGGCACGTCACACACGTTCACTGCTATTTTAAGGGTTGTGGGTAAGTGGTCCCCCACTTTTCCTGCAGTTGCCTTTGAAAGACAGAGAAGAAAACACCATAAGGCACCCTCCACTCTTGATATTCTCCTAAGCAAGGCTTCCCTATGCGTGGAAGGGTGGCACAATCACACATGAGGCCCACAAAGAACAGTGACAAACTCTTCTTTCCTGGCAGACTTTGCTGATGCTCTTCCAACCCAGGAGTAACAAGGTGGCACAGCTAATGGCAGTCACAAAATAAGTGCAATGCCTTGGATATTTATAAAAATATCACGTCCTTCCCGATTTTCTATCAACCTGTTTGATTATGCCTTATACAGGGAAAGTGTGACAGAATTAATCAGCCTGCTGGAGTGCACACTAAGGGAACAGATGAGCTTTGGCAAGGCTGTTGTTAGCACTGAAAAACTGTGACAAAAAAGAGGCAGACTGCAATCCAGACATGTGTCATTCAGAAAATGAGACATGCTATGATTTATCAACGTACCAACAATTGATGGGAATAGAGATCTCCCATTTCAAAGTGTTGTCTCTGTGTAGATTAAGAGTAGTATCTGTCATCAGGAAACAATGGGAAAAGAAATTTGTTTGATAAAAGCAATTCTGTGCTCTCTAGTAGACAGAAACCACTGTGACATTGGAATGGAGCTAAAGGGTTTCTCTGCAGTTCCATCCAGGGCAGTGAAAAAACCCCAGCGTTGTGACAAGAGGAAGTGCAAGTAATTAATACCAGAAGATCAAATGAAAGGAGTGGCTTTGCAAGAAGTGACTAATGTTGACTCTGCTTCAGGAAGGCCCAGATTGCGTTGTGGAAAGAGGAGCTTGCGTGGCCCCCAGAGCACGGTGCACAGCGGGCAGGGACTCACCACAGGGGCACCTCTCCCCTGCAAAGAAAGGGCTGCTTTATTCTCAGCTCAAAGGCTTCTGCTCACAGGTCCCCAGCACTGCAGCAGTTTGATTCTTGTGTACAGAGAAAGCAACACCAAAGCATCAAACACGGACCAACTTGGGGAACATTTTGCCAGCAGCTGATACAGTGGGAAGCGCATCTCAAAACAGCAGGGCAGCAGAGCAAAACAAAAGCCTCAGAGCCAGGATTGTTGTGTCATTTGGCACATCCTGGCACTTCCCTTAATTCTGCTTCAGAACTTGCAAGGGAAGGCCAAAGCTTCTTATTTGCTAATTAAGGTTTCACACGATTCAAACATCGAACAAAGGACATCCCCAAACAGAGAAACCTGCCAGCCTTCGTGCCCCTGCCAACAGGCTGATGTCTCAGTTCAGTGCTCTCCCAACACTGAGTGAAAGAGCTGTGGACAATGGCATATCCAAATGTGCACACACACATTTTTATGCTGCATGCACACATTACCTCTGACTGGGCTCCAAAAGTTCCACCTCCCTGTTTTTGTTAAGGACACTCCAGACACCCTACAGACAGGGGTGAAATAGGCATTAAAACAGCAGACCTCTATTTTATGGTGTCAAATAACTAATAATAGTAATTAAGGATCTTAAAGTCCTTTATCAAGAGGCATTATCTAAGATGGCATTATGCCTGTAATCAGAGTCAATGAAAAACTGTTTGAACAAGCCAAGAAGGCAACAAAAACAGTCTGATGAGTTGCCATCTGCTCAAGCAACTCCACCCCCTGGATCCAGCAGTGAGCCACTGCAGGACACTGACAACCAGGTTGTTTTCTTGTCATTTCAGCCCAACACTCAGTGCCTGTCAGTGTGTTCCAGAGGACTCCCAAGCCCAAACATGACAGATCGCTGCTGGACATGTAGCTCTGACAACATTTTGCCTTGCCACTTTTGTGGCTTGATTGTGCCCATGCAGCAAGGTAAGTCATTAGGGGTTAATTAGAATTTTGCCTACCATATTATTTGTTTTATTGTATTTTTTTAATTTATTTTAAATTTATTTTACTTTATTTTTATTTGTTTTATATGTATTTTATAAAACCTATGGTTAATTGACCAATAAAAGCCTTTGGCACTCACTCAGCCTCTGGGTAAAAGTCCAGCTACTCCTAGAAGAGCTTTTGACCCTGCAATTGTAATAAAATTTAGGCCTGGAGTATGGAGTAGACTCTTGAGCAGATTCTTAGCAAGAGAAGACAAGTTCAGGGTAGATGGAGGTTGCCAAATTGTCACAGTTTGAAAGAGAAAATTGGTACATTCAAGGAAGGAGCAATTTGAAGTTCTTATAAAGCACTTGGACACCACAATGATGGGCAAAGAGTTTCTTCACTCATTTCGCTTTCTCTTATCACTTCCCAGCTGTTTCTTCCACTTTCAGGTAGTTTCAATTTATCCTTCTATTTTTACCCACACAGTTCACTAACAGCCTTCAAGTTGAGATTCTTCTGCCTTTAGTGCTGAGGTGCCAGCTGTGCATCCCTGCAAGCTGGTGCATGTACGACCTTGAAAATTTCTGGGAAGCCAATCAGGAGATGCTTTTAAACAGTTTCCTATCTCCCAGAGAGCATCTCTCTGTTTTTAGCTTTAGATATATATCACATTATAACATCCAGAGCATTGTGCAGACATTACCCAGCTAATGCCAGCCCAAACCCCTCCCAGCCTGTATCCTGTTATTGCCTAAGTAACAGCTCCTCCATTCCACTGAAACCAGCCCAGGGAGCTCTTTCTGCTTCCTTCTCTGCAGGAATATTAAACCAGAATGAAAATGAAGAGAGCTGTTAATTTTATGTCATGGCAAGGAAACTGAAGGTCTTCAGATCACACTTTCTCCTCAGTCTTTTAATTGCAAAATTATACTTCAAGATTTGACGCAAGTTTCTCACCTCCCCATTTTCAAGCTACTAGCAAGCAAAACCAGACAAAAATACTTCTTTTTTTCCTATTCTGCAGAGCCTGTTAATTTCAGATAGGTGAAATATTGCTAATTAGTAGCATATTCTAACAGAACTTGTGATTTTACAGAGAGCTGTGCCAAATTAAACCAGATTATGGGTCAGAATGTGCCAATCTTTTCATTGTTGTCACTTTGTGATTTATGTACTCCCTCAAACTGTGCCTTCCTAGGTTCTTGGAGCCTTGGCTAGCACTGCTCAGCTGCTCCACAGTTATTCCTCACACCAGATCCAGCAACAAGACATTCACAGCACGCTCTTCTCACATTTTCTCTAAACATTAGGTACAATAGCAGAAATAGAAATTGAAGATTTAGAAGCAAGAGACACAGGAGTCTGGGTGGAAACAGATGACTAACAGAATTTTTGCTAAATAAAAACACGAAAAGGGGTAAAAAAAGAGATTCCTGAGCAGACATAATACCTTTCTTTTTCTGGATAAGCACTAATCTAGGCCCTGGAACACTCCCACTTCTAGATATGATGCTTAGTAACCTGTTTCTAATTTCAAATTAAATTTTAATGAAAATAATGGGAATACTTAAATAAGCTAGAATGTGACTTCCTGTGGTCCTCCTGCAGGTCCCACACTTTTTACCTTTGCCATGAGACTAATTCCACAATGCTTGACCAGCAGTGTGCCATGACCCTTCCCTGCCATCCCTACAGCCACCCACAGTGTCTTTCCTTTTGATAAAACTTCACCTTCCAAGATGGAAATTCATGCCCTGCCTCTGGATAACACCCTGCACAACAGGATCTGAGCATCTAGAGACCCCACTGGGAGTTACACAAGCGATAAATCGTCAAACCCCATTTTTTGTGCAGATTAATGTTCTCTAAGTTACTCCTGCCATAAACTATAAACAGCAGAAAATGCATTACTTTGCATTCCAGCATGTTGTGGGAGATCATAAAGGCACTTAATATATAATTTAAGCCATTTAAGTGAGATAGCACAACTGCTGTAATTAGCAACAGTTCTCCAAATCCCCATATGCCAGACAAAGGCTCACATTCAGCAATTCCAGGCTGGTAGGAGGGAATCAGAACATCACTGAAATGAAATCCATGCTCTGCTTTTTTTTCCTGCTGCCAATCTCAGCAGAGCCTACGTTTCACTACAGCTACTCCCCTGCACCACCATACAAGAGACCCAAAGCATAACATAAAGAAGACTGCCCTTTTTTGGGCTTATTTTAAGAATTAAAGGCTACTCAAGGCTTTAAGAAAGAGAAATGGAGCCACTTCTTTTGACAGCTGTATTCTACAGGCTGAAAGGGAACTTCCTTGCTTCTTCCTTTGAATAAAACCAAAATACAACAAAAAATGAAACTTGATTTTCTCTAGAAAATCCATGAGCTGAAGTCAGCATTAAATGGGAATTTAGAACCACTCCAAGCAGCAGCCACCCTTTGTGCACACAGGGTCAGGCACAGGGCAGTGTGATGGGAGGCATGAGAGGAGAGAGGCAGGATGAGCATGCAAAGGGCAGCAGTGACAGCACAGGGACGAGACCTGAATGCTGTCATGAGCCTGAACTTCACTACCCCATGGAACCCCAGGACACAGCACTGCCCAGGAGCTTCATCGACCATGTGCTCCCTGGAATTGCAGCCAGTTGGACACTCCTGTGCAAAGAACATCACTGGGGATAGGTACCAAAATCTTCTAAAGGAGCAGGGAAAGGAGATACAGAACTGAGAGCCTCTTCCACCAAGGGGGGTTGTGAAATTGGGGGTGCCATGGCTCAGAGAGGAAAGATGCTGTCCCTCTCCCCATTCCCCAGGCAGCACCAACTTGGAAATGTGTACCAGGTTCATCATTTTCCAGGCTTCTCTGATTCAAGGGGAGAGGAAGTGACCAAGGCTGGTATCAGCTAGAGAGTTCATATTTCATCATCCAAAAGATTAACAAGAGAAGTCAAATTATTTTCAATACAAGTAGATATCCAACTTGTTACAGATTTGATTTTATAAGCAGCACCTAAGGGATGGGCTCTCACCTCACATATCATCAATAATGCCTATTTTAATTTGCATAAACCCCTACAAATTTATGAAACACAATAAAAAGTAAAGCCTTTAACTATTCTGTTTCTCACAGGCTGCAAGTTGAAGAAGTGTGGAGGAAGCTGATAATGCTCTTTCAGTTCCTGAGGACTTTAAGCAGCTATAAAAGTCATAGACATTAGCAAACACCAACAATCAGCTCACAAACAGCTGGCTGAGAAGCTGAAGACAAACATCTACAGAACAGTTGAAGCATAAAGTAGTGCAGGAACACCTGAAAATACAACTGAGAAGAAGCACCAGCACTAGAGGTTGGTCACTGGTACCTTTGGGCACTCTGGAAGGTTTGGCTGCCTGTGTCTCCCAGTCTGGGAACACTTGGACCACACCTGATTTTGCCAGAGGTGGATAAAAGAGATGCAGATGTGTTTATGGTTTCCCCACACTACTGGTCACCAATCACACTTGTGTTTAGACCACATTAATTGCAAACAAGTGGTTAAATGAGTAACTCCCTTCAGGTACCAGAAAGGAACTGCTCTGGCAGTTGAGATGTCTCTAATGATGCAGACAGGAACAACAACTGGCCCAAATTCTCTTTCAGATCCCTTCCCCTGACACAAGATTCGTTAACTGGAGCCAGTAGGCACCCATGTACAGAGAGAAGATCATCTTCATGATCCTTAAGCACCAGGAAAGGAATTTCCAGATGGAACTAGCAAAGCCTCCACCCCTACAGTTGGAGCACTTGCTGAGTATCATTAATCATTCCATCAAATGGAGCATTCAACCACTCTCCTGGTAAGAACAGGTTGCTGGAAACATTCCTCATTACAATTCCTATTTGGCATTAGACTGCAATACATCTGGCAACATTGTTTGGGGTTGATGTTTAACTAAACCACATGTACAAGCAGTTGGTTTGAGTGCAATGCAGGATACCTGTACATCTATCTGTGTTTATCAGTTCTCCTTCCTGTGACCTATCAGTACATAAATAGCATATCAGATGCCTGCATATATTATACACACCAGATTCATCACATTGCACGTGGTAATCATGTTAAATCTGCCCAAAGCAGCAAAGAACAACCAGCAGCAGACACAGAACATCTTCACAACTGCTTCCTTTCTGGCTCCATGCCTACTCTGCACTGCAAGAGCTGCTGCACCAGAGGAGTTGGTTAATGTTTGCACTTGCACAGCTCCTGGAAGATGAAGGCACTCAAATAGAGAAATTAATATTCACAGGAGAGCTGTCAGGGGAAAAGGAAGAGTTTTCCCTGAGGTGCACTGTTTCAGTACAATGTGTTTGACTGGCACTTGGGCTCCTTTCCTTCACGGAGAGAAACAGGAGAGGCATAATCTGTTTGTACTCTGATTTTCCCCATCCAATTAGAGCATCCTTTCAAAGCATTCCTGTTGTAGGTAGGCAGGATAATCTGATAGATTTCCAGAGATGTGGTCTGTTTTATGCCACCTTCCAGCAGGAGAAGCTTCCAAGGAGAAAGCAGTGTTGTCTCCCAGAGGAGGGGGAAGGACACAGCCACAGGCTTCTCTCATGCCTGATCTCGCAGGAGTGAACCAGGTTGACGGACAACTTCTAAATACAACAAGATCCTCAGATGAAGGCTGGCCACAGAAGTCCATCTGTGCCTCCCACTTGTATATCCCTGGCTTTGGCTGAGCTCCGAGTGCAGCCAACACTGAAGGGGAGAACAAAGACTTGGATTTGCAAGGGGAGCTCAAGGCCCTCTCAATCCTCAGCAAAGCAAAATGTACACATGATAAGCCAGGAGAGCCATTCCATGCTGCAGTCACATGCCACGTGGAAGCTGTAATCTCACAAGGACACAGATATGGCCATGCAAATATGGCTTATGCCTGTGCTAACAACCAGCTCATGTCCCTGGAGTTCCTTTAATCTGGCTCGTGGTGCAGGTGAAAGCTTTTGATGGAGAAGCTTCGTTTCTCCTGGCTCTGATCAGCCAGGGACATGCTACCCTTTGGCATCTCGATTGGAGAGGTGAGGACAGGAGCTGGCTTCTCCTTGGTGTCAGTCTTTGCAGGTGAGGAGAGGAGCTGCCTGTCACAGTGGGAACAGATGACATGACTGCAGGCAGCAGGCACGAGAGTGTGCTTGGGAACAGGCATTGAGAAACCAGCTGCATTTTCAACAACTCCTTCAACCAAACCACTTCTAACAGAGTCCTCACAGCAACCAGGCTGAGGCAGCACAGCTACACTCACAGCTGCCACCTCTACTTCCCTCTGCAGAGCTTATCTTGTGTAAAGTAACACCTAACACTGCAAGCTCCTAGTGTGGGTTAAACAATGGTAACGTGCCTCAGATGGCCTAAGTAAAGCTCACTGCAAAGTTAGCAAGAAATTGCCTTTGCATCTGCTCAGCACCTGCCTGTGAAAGGCTCCTGCACCCAGAGCTGACAGCGAAATTCAGACAAGGGGGAGGAAGAAAGCAGACACAGGAGGGAAAATGCCACAGATGTCTTAAGGGAGGGCTTGTCTTAATGGATTTTTTTCATTATTGAATTCAGCCATGGGTAAAAGCCAAACTTCCCTAAGACAGCCTGAGAGCAAGGACCTGCCTCTGGTTCAAGACCCACCCACAAGTGCCTTCCCAAGGTGATAGCTGCTCTGGGCATTTGGCTCAGTAGGAGCTCAGCACCACCGGCTGCACAAGGAGTTCCTGACCAAGATCATCCCAACTTCTGCCAAGAGCAGCGATGGATCCTCAGCACAGCCGGGCCCAGAGAGCCCTCAGAGAGAGGGGCCTTTGTACAGCCCTGGGGGTGACTGTGGGTGCCAGAAGCGACCTGGCACAGGAGCACAGCTGAGTCACAGCTGCAGCAATTGCACCAATTGTCCCAGAGACACAACAATTGCACTTGTCTGACTGGTCAGGCCATGACGGCACAGTGCAGTTCTCTTTGTGAAAGCATTTCGCCTGGAAGTAAATTTCCAAAACAAAATCCTTTTAACTCCAAGCCTTTCCAGGCTTCTCCCTGGCAAGGGCAGTTTAAAGAGAGATGCCATGCAGGAGAGAGAAATGTCACTGCTGTTGGCTTTCAGCACCAAGGAAGGAGGTAACCCTGAATCCCCATTATACTGGGAGGGGAACTGAGATCTCAGCTCCCTAAGAACACCCAAGGTGCAGCCCAAGGTCCCTGCTCCCCATCAGAATAAAAGCTGTGCAAAGGCTCTGTCAGTGGTTACACTCCCAAGGCAGACCTGGGGGAGCAGAATGAGGAGGAAGATGAAGTTTGTACTCACAATCCACATCTTGCCTTCTGCTCTTTGGGGGGAGTTTTTCTCCCTCTCCCCAGGATGGACAGGAAGTAACTGCACAATCTGTAAAATTACATCAAGAACAAGCGAATGGACAAGTGCCTGGTAAGAAAATGGGAAATTTAATCCCCAAAAGGTGTTCCTGCTGTACTGATTTAAGGGGATGACCTGCAGCATCCATGGCTTGATCCATGTTGAAGGAGAAGCCTATTACTGAGAAATCTGTTTATCAGCAGGACTTTCCCTGCTGCTCTGGGTGGCTGAGTGCTGTTTACAGTCTTTGGAGATGTTTGTTCATCCCATGCTTCCAGTCATGCTTTACAGATCCAATCTGATCCATGGTTTTATCTGACTCTATAGGAATTAAACTTTGAAACAGGCCATAAGTTCAGGTACAGCCTGGGTTTGCCAGCAGTGATCTCTGTGCCTGAGCATCACCTGAACAAGGGAAGGAAAGTGCATTGAGTTCCTTAAGAACACAAACTCCAAAGGGTTAACTCAAAGCCGACCATAAACGTATCTCCTGAGCAAAGGCTGGGTGCACCAGGAAGTTCAAAGGTCCACAAGAAACATGGACTTTAGGGAGTTTATTAAAAAATAATTAGAATCAGATCCACCAAAAAAAAAAAAAAAGTGTCAACTACGAAATTTTTTTGAGGAAATCAGAAAACAAGAACAACTTTGTTGCATTACTGGGACATTTGCCTGCTTCACATTTAGAAGGGAGCTGTGGTCATTTGATAGCTGGCAGGGATAAGGCCACAAATATGTGTGAGGCCACAGGTACACAGCCCTCTCCTCCAGTTAGGGAGAAAGAAGAATCCAGCCAGCTTTTGCTTTTAGTTCACAGGGAAACAAAATCAGTTATTTATTTTTAAGGCTCCAAGAAGATATTCCATCCAGGAGGGAATCAAACCTACTGTAAAGAAAAACCCAAACCCAAATTCCTGCTGGTAGCAGAGACACCCGAGATTAAAGGAGAGGCATTAAAAATCAGCTGGCAGCCCGGGGAGGCAGGTGGTGACAGGTGCTCCTGCTCCCTGAAACTTGTGAGGGCTGCAGAGAGGAAATTCAGCTCCATTTCCAGCACAGCCCTTCCTGCAGGCCTGGGACACGACCTCAGCTAAGGACAAACCCTACTGCCCCCTCAAACAAAGTATTAAAAAGAAAAAAAAAAAAAACACCCAAACACCCTCCCCATCCTTTTGGTCCCCTAAAAATCCACCAGCAAACCACAGAGCTCCACATCGTCCCGTACAAGGAGGGGAAAAAGGCCAAGGCCGGTGCTGGCTGCAGGATCGGTGACGCCGGGGATCCCGGGGATGCTCAGAGCACCCAGCCAGGCTGTGCTGGGCTGGAGAGGCCGGCGGGAGGAGTGACAAACCCGCCGTTATGTAACGGGTGACAAATGCCTTTTGTTATGCAAGACAAGTGGGAGAAAAATCAGCATTTTGCGACTCTGCTCGAGCACAAACAGGCTGCGGCTCCGGGGGGCACCAGCACGCTCCGAGCAGCAGAAATAGATGGCTTGGAAACGCCTCCTGATTTGGATGAGTCAACAGAAAAATACAGAATCAATATTTAATTTTAAGGGATTGAGGTTGTCAGCACGGTAATTTGATAATTTGGGGGGTTTTGTTAAGGAGAGAGGCCAGTGGGCAGCCATCCACCAGCCTTGCTCATCAGTCATCTAAAATGAGGCATCTCCATCCCCTTTGCTCAGTATTTGGGGTTCTAGGCTTTTTTTAATTAAAAATTTAAATCCGTATTAATAGAATTTCATAATTTAACTAATAAACAAAAACGCCACACGCATCTGGATTTAAGCACTGGTCCCAACTCTGTTTTTACACTCGGTGAAAATCCCAGATGCAATTCTCAGCTTCGAGCTAGAGCAGAGAATCCTCTGCCCTCTCCTGGCTCCTGTAAGTGACTGAAAGCTGCAGAAATCAGCCTCACGTCTCGCCCTGAGAAAGAAACCAGGCTCCTGGGCTCTCCGAGACCCTGGAAGTGTGCGGTAAAAAAATAAAAATGCAAGCAGCGGGACCTCTGGCATCAGGATTGCCCAAGGGATGCGCGGGGAGCACACAGCACACACGGCGACAGTGACATCCAGCGGCAGCGCCCGGCCGGAGGCGATTCCCGCATCCCACCCGGGGAGCGGGGACAGCGCGGGGACACGGCTGGATCTGCCACACCGGCATGGAGCCCCTGCAGGGACAAACGGCACAAGTGAGGATGGAGCAGCCATCCCTCAGCTCAGGGCTGCTGCCGGCCCGAGGGGCCGAGGTTTAGCAAGAGTTATTGCCCAAGCGTGAGTCAACCTGCGCTGCTCGTTGACATAAACACCTCTAGAAGTGGCTTTATGTTCCCTTTTATTCGTTGAAGCAATTCCACCGTCCTTCAGAAAACCCCGAGTCAGTTCCAGAACTCACAAGGAAGACTCTGAAGCAGCTTTAAACCAGTTGTACCTTCAGGAACAGCCGGGTCAAAGAGAACTCTCACCTCCAACACCTGCAAAGTCACCGCCCAGCAGGGACAGGTGAGGCACTCACGCAGCCACAGTCACACTGCCACCGAGCGGGGTGAACATTGTCCTGCTCACACACAGCCCTTACACCTGCACTTTTTACAGAAGGATGTGATCAGTGCTGGAGGAGCTGGGCGGGTTGAGCTGCTGTCCCAGACATGGGAACAGGGAAAACAGCGGCTGGAGAAGCTCCTCCAGCCGGGGAGGGAGTGAGGAATGAGCCATCGCTTTGTTGTCAGCTGCTGGGAATTAGGGCGTCCCCACCTTGCAATCTGGATGCTCCAACATAGCTGTGGTTTGCTCTGGGGCCACCCCAGCCCAGCCATACGTTTGTCTTCCTCCAAAAATGCAGCCCGACCTGTAGCAGGGGTGTTCGTGCCTCCCGGTCCCTGCACAGCCCGCAGGTGGAATGACACAGGGACGGGAGAGGCAGCTGCTGACAGCACCGGCTCTGCCACAAACAGGTGCCACAGGCTGCCCGCAAGGAGGATTTGTCCTAAACCTATTTTCAAGCTGCTAAAACACAGCCAGGTGTTCTGTGGGAGTACACAGGCACTCAGAACCAGCTCGTTTCTCATCTCTTTTCTCCCCAGTGTCTCTCTCTTTACCTTTAAAATGTCCAATCTGGTCTGTAACAGCTCGGAGGGAGCGCTTCACATCTAAATTGGTAAACTAAAAGTCAAAACGCAAGAGCTGCCAGACAACGTGATCCGGGAGGCTGAGTAGGAGTCCCTCCGTGCCCTGCCGGCTTCGCGATCCTCCCCCGCCTGGCTGCTCCCCGCAGGGCTGGGGAAAACACCAGGCAGCCAATTCCTGCGGAGGGAAAGGCACCAGAGACACGCCGAGTGAAACGGCCCGAATCAGCGCAATTGAAACGCGAGGAGCATCCCGAGGGGCTGGGATTGCTCCCTGCCCAGAGCCTGGGGGGACCAGTTCTGCCTTCCAGTTCCTTTAAGGGGTTTTTAAGGTTCCAAGACAACAGCAAGGGTCAATGGAAATTCATCAGTACAGCATCCTCACCTGAACAAAAGCAGGGAATCCAGCCTGTCTCCATGGTTCCCCAAAACCACCAAGTCCTGCAATACTTGCAGCGTCATAGCAACGAGCTCCAGCCCAGCCAAAGAAAAATTCTCTTATTTTAAGGTATGGGATCTTATTTATGATGATCCTGGAGATCCCTAAGAGTTGTGCATCAACACCAGGACTGGATTAAGGCTCTGGAAGTACCAGACCCACCTTCAGTACACCATTCCTCTTGTATAAACCCCAGTCATGGGAAGAGCAGCTTTTGGAGGAAGCAGCAGCTTGCTCCTTTCCTTGCTGAGGCAGAAACTCCTCTCCCAGGGACTTGGCAGGGCTGGATCACCACTGGGCTTGATGATCCCAAAGGTTTTTTCCAACCTGAATGGTTCTGGGATTCTGAATGACTCTGGCTGGGATTTGGGGTTGGCCACATTTGATGTATGGTTCAATCCAGGCTTTAAGGAAACATCAGAAATATCAATAATTTTGGCCCAGAAATCCTTCAGTCTGACCAGTAAAAACCCCCAAATCCTTCACTCCCATGTGCTGGAATGGGACAGCTGGGTGGGAGCTCAGTTACTGCCTTCAGCTCTGAACCCAAGCATGAAAACCCCTCCTAGACCCCTTTGGGGGACCATTCTTAGAATCAGGACAACAGATTTCCTTTTTAAATTTCCATCCCCAAACTTGGGCTGGGCTGACCCTGGACACAGCCCTGACCTTGAGAGGCAGTGGGAGGATGTTGTGTCTCACCCTCCCAGGGCAGCAGGGCAGACACTTGTGTGGTACAGATCTGGATCATGAGGAATTTTCTCTGGATAACAGAAAAATTCCTCCAGCTAAAGGTAAACCCAATGAGCAGTGCCTGTGGCTGCTGTAGGAAAACTCTGTCTGCCCTCAAAGTGTCACACTGGTTTAACAGGGACCTGAGCAAGATTAAAGGCTGCTCAGGACTTGGATTGTCCCCACAATTTTTCCAGTAGGATTTGAGATGACTTAGAAGTGACAGGAAAGCTCTCAAGGAAAACTGAGCTCTGCCAGAAATAACCTCAGTTTCCTGACCAGGTGACGTGGGCAGAGGAAAGATTTCACCTTTCAGGGTTCCTGCTCCAAATAGGATCAGAAAATCTTTGGAATAAACTACAGGATGCAATGTGACAGGGATTGCCTTTCCTGCTGCTGGATTTTAGAAGATGGCAGAGGCAGCAGGACTTGCTCTCCTCAAAAATCAGCAGAACAGTCTCATTCATATGTCAGTTTTCCTTTCAGACAGAAGTTTCAGGGTTGCTGCTGTTAATTCTTCTGTCACATCAGCAAACAGATTTATTTTGGAGTCTCCAGCTGTTGGCTTGTTCTTGGCAGTGTGGATCCACCACTCCCACTTGTCATTTCCCTGAGGAAAAGGGGAAGAATTGAGAAAGCTGCAGGAGCACACAGCCACCCAGGGATATCCATTTCCATTCATAGAGTTCAGGCTGTGGGAGCAGAGCTGGCACTGCCACAGCCCCAGGGGCTCTGGGGTCACCCTCGTGGTCCTGGTCCCTGGCCTGACCTGGGCTCTCAGAGCCAGGGGAGTGTTCAGGGCATTCTGCCTTTCAAAATGGGATTCTCAGCCCTGTGAGATGAGGCAAGGCCCCTGCCTGAGCACCACGCACAGCTGGGGAGCTGCAGGTCACTCAAATGACACAAACCTGATGGTTTAAAAATAAAACCCCCCAGAAATGCTGCATTTTAACCTACTCTGTGCTCAGGCACACACACGAGATGCTTTGGTGCTGCCAGCACACACTTGCAGGAGAGAATCTGCGTTCCCATGGCTACTTTAGGGGGAAAAAAAAGACCAAGAAGTAAGGAAGGATCCACATCTTGGAAAGACCATGGGCTCTCCCCTCCCATTGTCCAAATTCCATCACAAGCCCCATCCACGAGGACTGACCCCCAAAGGCAGGGATTTCACCTTGCCCTGGCACAGCCTCTGTGGGGAGCTGTAAGCAATTCAGATACTCCAGGCTGCGGGAACACTCTATTTATTAGGTCAATATTTCATTTGAGCAATACAGTTACAGAATATCACAATGCTGGTTACAAACATAGGATGGCTCCGTGGGCACAAAGGATGGTGGGAAGAAGTGGGGTACGAAACCTTCGTCCTGACACGACAGGGAGAGGGGGCTGCGAGGTCTAGTAATGAGCAAGATACTTTTATATAAATGAATGTGGCACTACAGGTGGAGATTCTGGTTTAGAGGTGGGTTTGTGTAAGTAGTTCAATTTATACAGTTATACAGTTCAAGCAACATTTTTTTTTTTTAAATGCTATTAAATTAAAATCCCCTGTAGTTCAATAAAGTATAAAAATAGTACTGAACCTGGTAATATTCAATAAAATGTAGAATTCATTCACATCATTAAGTAGTAAAGAAATTGTAAAGTTGTAGTTACCATGGCAACATTGCTTCCCAGAAAGGAATACACAGAAAAGAAAAGTTACACATATGGTACCTGCGACGAGTATTTAGCGATCCAACACTGAACTTGTGCACCACAAACCAAGTTTCTAAATATCTCTATATATTTATATAGTATATATCTTTTTCATCTTTAAATTTACTTCTGAGAAGAAAAAAA